ACTTCTCGCCCGGGGCTTCCGCAGATGTGCCAGCCTAATCAGCAGCCTGGTCTGTAGCGCCGACCTCCCCGATGTCTTCGCCTTCTTCCTCTTTCAAGTTCAGGTCTTCGGCGGCTTCAAGGGGGAGGGTGTAGTCGAAACAAAGGGAAATTGTACCGACCACGTTCCGGACTTAGTTCGGGTGGAGCTGATCTATAGTTACGTCGAAGTGATTCAACACTTCAATGATGAGAGGGTGCAGCGGAAGGCAGAGCCCAGCCGCCAGCTGTTCCCCGAAAACCAGGATCTCGTCACGACCGTGCTCCCAGGGAAAGTCGCCCGCAGGAAGATGGTAGGAGTACTCCCTAGGAAGGTTGTACTGGGCTATCAGGTTCCTCAGCCTGTCTACCATCATGGTAGAAGGACCGAACTTATCTGGTATCCGACCTCGGTTAGAGGTGGATGCTGGGTTACCCAAGGTCCTACGCACCTCGTAGGTAGAATGTGCTTTAGAGGCACCGACTTGAGCCGAGGTACCCACCTCGGGCTCGTCTAGAAGACTGTCCACTGGAGTCGGGGCACCCACCTYGGGCTCATCCAGTTGACTATTGAAGCTATGGTCTAACATAGCTACGAACTGGGAAATAGGCTAAAGGAGAGCTACAAAACTGAAATTGAAAACCTAGAAACGAACTAAAGGGAGTTAGGGAGGCTTACCTAAGAACGCAACGAAAAGAAAAAAGATGAAATGAAGAACCTGAGCTGAAGACCTTAGACGCAACCTCAAGACGAGCGCTAGTGAGCTTATGGGGGAGAAAATGATAGGGGTCCCCCCTATTTATAGCCGGTATGCCCGAGATTCAATGGTCGAGATCAAGACGATCTAATGGCCCTCAAGAAAACTGGTTGCACAACCCTCGAGGTGAAATCGGTTTAGCACGTTTTTTGGCATTTGCAGAGTCTATAAATCGTGTCACGTCCGCGCGTGAGCTGTACGCGATCCAGGTTATGCTTGGTTGAGCCAAACGATGAACTGGTTCGACCGGCAAATTCTGATGAGGCAGCCCAGACTTCGGGCCAAATCCACCCTTCAGGTTGTGAACTTCCCCGCACCTGGTCAGGACCCCTGGCTCGAGGAGTGGGGGGCAATTGATGGAGGGTGATTTGCCCCGACCTCATCTTAGGGGAACACGTGGGCGTGACTCAGCATAAGTGATAGCTCAACGTGACCAATCCGCCAAGATCCAGCGTGGCAGCTCAGCACCGGGTAACACTCCGATTATCTCGAGCTCTTCCCAAGCAATGGAGCCCCTGAGCTCCTCCTCAAAAAGGGAACACCCCGAGTTTAGATTCTTCCATAGGCATCCCAAGCCAAGGTACTGCAAGACAGGGATCTCCCGAGCTCAAGGCACTTCGGGGTGAGCTCGGGAGCCTTTAACATTTGTTCTGACAAGCCTAAGTAGGCCACCTCGGGTAGAATAACCTCAGTATGGCACCTCCAGCCCGACATAGGGTAGTTCGGTGCAAGGAAGACAGCTCGATGTATCACAGGAAGATCTTCCCTGACAACCGTACCTACCAAACCTGGGGCCCTGCACCCACGTCTCTCGCCAGGCAGTGTCGTGCCTGCTAAGCCTAAGAGGTGTCCCTCGTATGACAGAGTCGTACCCTACAACAATGACCTGCGCAGCCCTGGCAAGTAATGGTTGCGGCAGAGAACCAGAGGTGGTTATGTCAGATTTGATAGAACACCATTATATAAGGATTCCAACCCCCTGAGAGAAAGGGTAATTGATTTCGCGCTATCTACACTCTTAGCTCTCCTTGTATTCTCTATAATTCTCTCACAGAGTTCTAATTTGATTGTCGAAGTGTTCCCGCCAGGCAAACTCCTCGGGAATCCTTCACTGTCTTCTCCAATTTGAAAAACATTTAAATTGATGATCTAGAAAAACATAATTTAAATTGTTAGTACATAATTCCGTGATATATTTTATAAAATTATAAAGTTATTTTTTGTGTTTTTAATAAATATTTTAAAGTTATTGTATAATTTTGTTAGAATAATTAAATAATTCTTAAATTTTTTAATTCAAACTTTCTTTAGATAGATATAGATAGAAAGTAGGGGAGAGGATAAATAGGAATTAGAGATAATTTAGAAGAGAAACTCTCTACTAAATTAGAGATAATTGTGGAGATAAATAGGAATTAGAGATAATTCTAGAAAAAGTGGGGGAGGTAGTTTAGGATAAATTTTAGGAGAAGATATTATTTAGGTTATTGAGAAAGTTCATCTCATTGGTTGTTTCAAAAAATGACATGGAATAAAAAAAATAAAAAATTCAAAAAAAGAGAAAATTTATTAACCCCTTTGTTTTAGTATATAGGGTAAAATACAAAAATCTCCCCCTGAAGTTTGTAACAATCATAGAAATCTCCCCTATAATTTTACTTTACCAAAAACCTCCCTTTTATTTTCAAAACAAATCAACAAAAACCTCCCTTCCGTTAATGATCRAGACAGAAAACATTAAACCCATGATATTTTTTTTTCAAAATGCCTATTTTACCCCTAGGAATTATTGTACACCTATTTTGACTAAAATACCCTTTGCCCCCTCTAATTATCGTAGTTTCATCTTCTATGCAATCTGAAGATGAGCATGGGTGAAGAACAAATGAGGAAGAATTATTAGAATATTTCACTTCCCAGAATATTCCGTACATCTTCCGGCGATGATTCTTCACTGAACAATGACCGTGCTTCATCCTGTTGGTCGATGATTCTTCACCGGATGACGACCGTCCTTCACCCTGTTGGTCGATTTCTTCAGTGGAGCGATTGACGGCATTCGGTTTCGATTTTTGGATGGCTCGGCAGAATGTATTTGGGAAGATTAATCGATGCATACAAGTGCTACAGAGATGTGGAGAAAAATGAAGCCCGTGACATACAACTCTGGCGACAACTACGAAAATGGTGTGAATGTTGGTAATACCAATACCAACCTTTTCCCATTACTTTTGAGTTTAGGGGAAGGAATCGGCATGAACTTAGGACCTGATTTGGAAGAAGGAACAATTTCATAGTGTGCATACTTCCTGCATCGAAAGAGCTTTTAACAATTCCTTGACTTGACCCAAACCATCCAAACACTTCACTGCAACTTTTGTGCCATTTCGAGAGTCCCATAAAAAACCGATCCAAACCCTCCTTGTCCAAGCTTCTTACAAAAATTCTCTGTTGCATTTTGAGATCTTGATAAGAGAATCTCCTGGGCATTCCTGGTACTCGATGTAAAGCATCCTCCTCATATTTCTCCTCATCATTTTTCTTCCTATAAAGAATAATTAAGATGCAAACTACAATAAAAACAAAAAACAGAGCTGCAAGATTGGATCCTAATATTATTGCAGTTTGGCTTGTTTTCTTTTCAAGAAGGGATGGGATATGAGAAACATCTGGTATCTGCACCTTAATGAATGCAGATGTATTATACTTATATTTGTTCTTATCATTGTTCATCAACGAAAATAGTTTGGTTGGCAAAAAGCAACTACCTGCGGAAGCATTGGTATGGTACAGAAACAAAGCAGCCTTGCAAGAACAGTTATTCAAGCATGCCTACCTACAATTCTCCAAACTCGTTTCAGTTGTGTTTGCATCACCGATGAAAAAGATGAAGTAAGTTACATCCTTTAACTCTTGAAACTGCGATTTTCAGAAGCTTCATAAGAAAATGGATTAATTTCGAAGCAGCCGAGATCCAGCTGCCTTTTCACTTAATTGTCTAAAATAGCTATCATTGTTGCCAATTCCTCTAGGACAACTGCACTGCCCAGTTGAGCAAATACCATAATTTCCACATATAGTTGGGTAGCTACACTCTCCATCAGATAAATCTTTTGTCAGAAGATCGCCCACTTCCATCCACCCTGAGGTCAAGTTCCACTTGTAAACTCTTAGATGCCCATCTGACTCGAATTTAATGTACTGCGTCGAGGTTGTTGGTTTCACAGGAATTGTATCAGCAGGCTGGCGTGGCTCGGCGAATAATATGTAGAGAGAAAGATTTCTATTCAGGAATCTAACATAGCTCAGTCCTGCATTTAGAGCAAGAGCAAACAAACCGTTACTAGGACACCTGTAGACCAGTTCGAAGAGCAAACAAACCATTACTAGGACACCTGTAGACCAGCTCGAAGAGCAAACAAACCAACGGCTCCATTGCTAGTAACGAAAAGTGATAGGACACCTGTAGACCAGTTTGAAGATGAGATGCTGGTTGTGAGCCTCTACCCTTCTACTACTAGACGGCTCCATTGTTTCCATCGAAGAGCACGAGATTTCCTGTATCCTTCATGTTTAAGCCCATGACAGAATTGTCGGTGGATGGTTTCCATCATTGTTCCCATCGGTTTTTGAAGGGGTAAAATAGGCATTTTAAAAAAAATTATCATGGGTTTAACGTTTTCTATCTTGATTATTGACGGAAGGGAGGTTTTTGTTGATTTTTTTTTAAATAAAAGGAACGTTTTTGGTAAAGTAAAACTATAAGGGAGGTTTTATGATTGTCAGAAATTCCAAGGGAGGTTTTTGTATTTTACCCTAATATTATATATATATATAATCCAATCAAATGACCACTCACTCACAATCTGTCATGGAGTTCTGGTTCGTCCTCCTCGTCTCTGCATTTCTGTATCTCTGAGATCCCTTTTTTATCTTTTGCATCCTAAAAGTAGCAAGGGACTCCCACCAGGTCTCTCTATGTTTTTCATCGTATCCACCTTCATATGGCAACGCAAATCCCTCCGTGATCTTGAACCCATCCTTCGCAGCTTGCACGCCAAGTATGGCCCCATAGTCAGGCTCCAAATCGGATCCTTCCTATCTATCTCCATTTCTGACCATGCCCTAACCCATCAAGCCCTTGACCCAGCATGGGGATGGAGCCATATTCGCAGATCGCCCGGCAACACTTGCACCTCACCAAGTTGTTTCAAACAACCTAAACATGGCCGCTGCACCATATGGTGCAATCTGGCGTCTCTTACGCCGGAATCTCGCTTCTGAKATCCTCCACCCTTCTCAGATCAAGTCTTTTGACGATGGCAGGAAATGGGTCTTGGAGAAATTAACAAACAAGCTCAGACAACAAGCCCGGTCCGGTGAACCAGTTCATGTGACAGATGAATTCCGGCATGCACTCTTCTCTTTGTTAGTCCTAATGTGTTCTGGACAAAAATTGGACGAAATGGCCCTTCGAGACATGGAAGCCGCTCAACAGAAGCTACTATTAGCTTTCCTCCAAATCAACATAAATATTCTCTTTTCTTCCCATATTTAGAAAGACCATTTTCCGAAAGCAATGGGATGAAGTCAGGAAAATACGACGTGAGCAAGATAACATTCTTCTTCCTCTCATAAGAGCTCGACAAGAACAAAAGAAGAATAACCGAAGTTGTGACAAGGAGGAGGACAAGATGTTTATTTCGTATGTTGATACGTTGCTTGACCTTCAACTCCCTGGCCCGGCAGACAAAGGAATTAGGAAGCTCAGAGAGGAGAACATGCTGGGCTTGTGTTCTGAGTTTCTCAACGCAGTCACTGACACAACAGCCTCTGCTTTCCAATGGATCATGGCAAGCCTTGTGAAGCACCAAAATGTGCAAGAAAAGCTATTCTCAGAGATCAAAGAAGTGACAAGGCCCGGAGAAGATATCAAAGAGGATGATTTGCAGCGTATGCCTTACCTAAAAGCAGTGGTACTGGAGGGGCTGAGGCGACACCCACCGGTGCACCTTCTGTTCCCACATGCTGTCACAGAGGACATCTCAATAGATGGTTATGTTATACCAAAGAATGCCATRGTGCGATTCATGGTGGCAGATATGTCATGGGACCCAAAAGTGAGGAAGGATCCAATGGATTTTAATCCTGAGAGGTTCATGACGAGTTGTGATGGTGAGCAGAAAGGAGGGGAAGTTGCTGTGCCATTATCCCTAACATATGGTTTGTCATTAATTATAATTTCCTTGCTGAAATAATAGTGTTTTGTCGAAGTTGCTCTGCTAGCTATGCATGGCTAGTACAAACATAAATAATATTCAAGGTTCAAAGTATCGATATGAAACGAGTTTCGGCCGTATCATATCGGTACCGAAACTCTATTTTTTTTTTAGTTTTTTTTTTCAAAATTCGGTTTTTTGGAAAGCCTAGGTGTTTTCGTACGATACGATACGCCCAATACGGACGTATATATCATGGCGGTAGAAATCACTAAATAAAGTTGACATTTAGCAACAGTCACAAAATTGTACTAAAGGTTTTAATTACAACTAGATTTGTTGCTAAATGTTTGCCCAAAATATATTATTAGTAACTCATGGTGTGCGATTTAACGCTTCCCACGGGTGAACAGCTTAGAGGTCAGACTGGTAGGTCACATGGCCAAACTACAAGAGAGAAGTACTCAGAGTGTCCGAGTTGCTTGACCCGAAATGGGCACTATAATGCTTAAGTCAACGAACTTGGAATATAATTGCAAAAAACAAGAGAGCTAGAATGTTTGAGAGCTTAAAATAGTGCGTACCTCATGGAGTTAAAGGGGATGCCTTTATATAGGCAAGCTAACGTGAGGCTCACGAAGTGCGTTCGAGATCTCCGGCCTGTCTGGTTCAGAGGTGATTTCATGCCTGGGGGTGGACTCTGTGTTAGCAGGTAGTGTTTATCCAGTCGTGCCCAAAGCGAGCAGGATGATAATCGTCTCTTTCGATGTGGCATCGTGATCCTTGGGAAGTCGGAAACAATAGTCTACTTAAGGAGGAAGTCGACCGACATATCAAGCAGGTCGCTAACCGAAGTCAAGTCAGATCGACAGAAGCAGGTCGCCTCTTACACAAGCTCGACATCTTGCTGGGCCATTCGTAGTTTGGCCCACTGAAGTGGGGCTGAGGTCATCAAGGAGGTTGCGAGGTGTCCGAAGTGCTCCTAAGGTCTGCTTACGTGGTGTTGTGGTGTCACTGTACTTTTTTCTGATGCCACGTGTCGTGCTACCATTGGAGGACCAAATCACCCCTCATCAATTGCCCCCCCCACTCTAAGTCTAGCGTGATCAACTTGATGAGTGAGTAATATTAACCCGACGTGATTTGGTCCGAGTTTCGGCTTCGACCGAAGTCTGGCCAATGGCATAGGATTGGGATGGTTCGATCTGGGCATGCACGGATGCCACACAGTCACTAGGTCCCACGGACGTCAAAGACGTGTTAAACTAATTTCACCTCGGAATACGAACTATTACGTCCTTACGAACCATTGGATCCAACCAATCTCAACCGTCCATAGATCGGTTCAACTATCTATAAATAGGACCCTTGAGAGCCCATTTCCCTCATCCCTGACTTTGGAGTTCTGGTGCACAATGAAATCGTAGAGCTTGGCATTGTCAAAATCATCAATGTAGTTGGCGAGGTTGGTATATTCGTTCTAGGTGAGTCATCTTTCCTTGGTTCTGCCCTTTCCTTTATTATGTTTGATGTTGAATCCAAGGAAGAGAGGGGTATGTCCTGCCAGGCCGAGGAGAGGTTCTCGGCCCGAGAACGACGAGGTTCCCATAAGAGAGCCTCATCCTCTCGTCGTCCACCTAAGACTAAATCCAAGTTCAATCCCACCCAACTTGTGAACATAAATATAATTTAAAAAACTGTTTAATATAACATGGGTGTGCATGCATTTAAAGTCAATGAATATATTAAAACTTATAGAATTATTATCATTATTATATTATTCAATTTCTTATGCATATCATGGTGAAAGAAATAGACTAGAGATTAAATATTATAAATACATTGTGGAATTATGCACGTAAGGTCCTGAATGGCAGCTCCAAAGGGATTTTGTTTAAAGGTATATATTTTTTTCTTCACATATTTACAAAATTAAATCATCTTTGTGTTTTGTTTGGAAGAGCAGGAGTAGAGACATTGAACGAATAAAGAACAAGAAAAAAGGAAAATATTAGCCTGATCATGATAGGGCTCTAGATTGGGGTTCTACTTAACTCCTAAGCACACACTCCCTGCTCTCCTTCCATAAATAATGGGAGAGTGGCATGAAATTAAGGTCTATTTTGTGATTAATTATAAGATAACATTTTTCAATCTCTTAGACTCAATATCTAACAGCTTGTAAGACTGAATGCATGTCTTAGAACAGGATGTATAAACCTCCTTCCTTCGACCGAATGCTTTTTCTTGATAATGCTTATAGTGCTCTCTGTATAGCTTTTCATAATTAATTTCTATAGTGAAGGTACTTCCATATATACAATCGGAATTTTTGGCTCTTTACCATGGTTTAGGGTGGTGCGAGCTTGAGGTTGAAAGTGACAATAGGGTTGTTGTTGATATTTTGATGCCCAAAGTTTAATTCTTGGTCGATTTCTTGTGTCCATAGAGAAATTGAAAATTTTATCTCTTTTGTGAAGGTTGAATTCTCTCATATCCTAAGCTATAAGAGAAAGAGAAGGTAACAAGTGCACTGATTAATTATTTGGCCAATAGAGGCTTGGGGTGGCAAATGAATGGATTGGGTGTGGGTTGAGTAACAACCCACCCACATTGACCTGCTACCCTATTTGCCACCCATGCATGTCTGACAACCCACCCTGACCCTGACCCACACATGTGACCCACTAATTTAAAGTAGGTTTTTTTTTTATCTTCTCTATTTTAATTGCAAAAAAACATAGAATAAACGAATATAAAAAGTTTCAATTTTTTTAAAAAAATTAAGACCTATAAAAACACAAAAAATGGTAAATAATATATATTTCATGTAAAACACCAGAAATTGCAAAAAAAAACAGGAAAATTATAAAAAAATCAGAAATTATAAAAATTTGCAAAAAATTACAGAAAAATGTAAATACACACACATATATATATTTCAACAAAAAGGATATGAAAAAAGATAAAAACTTCAAAAATATTTTCAAATATAAAATACATAAAACACAGAAAAATGATAAACATCAGAAATTACAAAAAAAAATACAAGTAAATTGGAAAAGACAAAAAACTCAAAAAAAATATAAATTTTGAATAAAAACAGAAACTGCAAAATACGTAAAATGATAGAATATTCAAAAATCTGTATTATAGCAAAAAAAATAAAAGAAATGCAAAAAAGCAAGAAAATGATAAATTCTTCAAAAAAATATTTTGGAAAAAATCAGAAAATGCAAAAAATTCATATTAAAATCAAAAGTTTTTTCATGGCATTTTGTCAATGGATTATATTCATATTAGATTGCACCAATGTAAAAAATCAATTTTTTTTCATGTAAAATGAAAATTTTACATTAATTCCGCTTCAGTAATTGATTTTTTATCACCCTGAAACAATGACAATATCAAGCTGAAACACAGTGTATTACTCCAAAAGTCGGGCTCCAAGAATCAAATCTTCAATTTGGAGATCAGAGTGAGGAAGAGAGCAGTGTGTTTTCTAATTCAAATCGAAGATTTAAGTTGTAAAGAGAGAGGGTGGTGGTGGTGGTGCGGTGACCAACTTCAACATTTGAGACAGAGAGAGGGGTGGTGCCTGGTGCGACGTCTACCTTCCATAGATCTGAGGAGTCGGTATAACAGCCATCTTCAAGATCCAAGAGACAATGATCACTTTTTATAGATCTGAGAAATTAGTGCAGCAATTGGCTTTAACCGAAGATCTGGGTGAATAGATCTGAGAAATTGGTGCGGCAATTGGCTTTAATCGAAGATCTGGGCAAGAGAAGCAGAGAAGGGTGATCAGTGACATGAGAGAGAGAGAGCGGTGGTCAGCTCTAGAGGTGTCAATTGGACTGGATTTGGTCTAATCCGATCCAATCCAAAGTGAGTCCACTTACAAATGGGCTAGACCCAATCCAATCCAAATCCAATCCAATCCATTAAAATGCAAATGGACTGGATTGGATTCAATCCAAACCGAATGACATATCAAAAATTATATAAAAACAGAACATATAAAAAATTACAAAAATATATTAAAATGAAGAAAATCTGAATATTACAAAAACACTTTTGGCATTGAAAAAGCACTTTTTCAAAAGTGCTTTCATAAAAGTACTTTGATAAAAGTATTTTCATAAAAATTTTTTTGTAAAAGCACTTTTATGCAAGTACTTCACAAAAGTGCTTTCGTAAAAGTACTTTCATAGAAGTGCTTTTATAAAAGTGCTTTCATAAAAGTGATTTTGTAAAAATGCTTTCGTAAAAATACTTTCATAAAAGTGCTTTTATAAAAGTGATTTCATAAAAGTTCTTTCATAAAGTTGCTTTTATAATAGTGCTTTCGTAAAAGTGCTTTTATAAAAGTACTTGTATAAAATTACTTTTATGTACTTCCGTTCTGTAAAAGTAATTTTGTAAAAGTGATTTCATAAATGTGCTTTCGTGTAAAAGCACTATACAAAAAGCGCTTTCATAAAAGTATTTTCGTAAAAGTGCTTTCCTAAAAGTACTTTTCATAAAATTAATTTTGTAAAAATGCTTCTGTAAAACCATTTTCATAGAAGTGCTTTTGTATAAATACTTTCATAAAAGTGATTTTATGTTGTTTTCAATTTTGATCGGTTTCAAATTGAACAAGGGTTTGGGCTCATGGATTATTGGAAATTTGGTTTAGATCCAATTCAAACCAATAAGAATATAGACCAATTTATTTTGAATTAGTCCAATCCAATAATTATAATGAACCACCCAAATCCGATTTGATAAGGTTTGGATCAGATTGGATCCAATCCAAAACTAATCTATTAACACCCATAATCAGCGTCACACAGAGATCTAGGCGAGAGAGAGGCAGGGGCCAAGGATGGGTGAGCGATGACATGAGGTGACCGGCGGCAGCATGAAAGAGAAAGAGAGGGAGAGAGAGGGTTTCAAGAGAATAAATCCAACCCAAAGAAAGGATAAATAGATAACTCTTGACCTAATCGGCCCTAACCCTTTTTTTCTTAACCTTTATGTGTCATTTAACCCAT